GGGGGGGAATGTCCTGCCCAGGCGCAATTGGAAAACGCGGTGGCCGGGCTTGGGAGAATGGCGAAAGAGGAGGCATGAGGAGGGGGGCGAGGGGCTTTGGCGATCGGCCGGACACGTACCGCTTGAAGGTCAGCTCACCCGGGAGGGAGATGTACCGGACCCAGCCGGCCGACAGAATGAGCCCCAGGTCCCGCCCAACAATCAGCACCAGCAGCCATGTTGGCAGGAGGCCTGGGCAATGTGGGGACCGACCAAGGGGAAGGCGGAGGAGGGAGGGCCGGAGAGGGGCGAGGCATTGGTTGCGAATGGGGGTAGGGGGGGGGGGAGGGATGAGTGGCAGGGAAAAGGCAGAGAGCAGGGGCCCCGGGAGGGGCGAGGACACCGTGGCGCGTGGATGGCATGCTCGGGCCCCGGGGCAGGAGGCATGTCGGCATACGCACCGTTGATCGCCAGGGAGATGGTCAGCGTCGACACGAGGAGCTTGTCGGCGAAGGGGTCCAAGATGGAGCCGAGCACAGTGGACTTGCCGGAACGCCGGGCCAGCCAGCCATCCAGGAAGTCCGACGCCCCGGCCAGGGCGGTGGCCACCAGGGCCAAGCCCAGCTGGTTGGTGGCCACCAGGTAGCCGATGCCCGGGGTGACGAGGATGCGAGCCAGGGAGATGGCATTCGGCAGGGTCATGACATCGGTGCTCAAAGGGGTGAGCCCCGGGCCGGGAGACACGCTCCCCTCCGGCGGGGAGGTCTGGGCCTCGGTGCGCTTCATGCGCTGCTCGAGCTCTTCCATGACGGCGGCCGCGGCGGCGGTGACCGAGGTTTCGATGATGGCCGGGGCCCGGGCCCCGGCCGGGGCATGTCGCATGTGGTAGTCCACCAGATCCCGAAGCTGGCCCCGGAGGAGGGGCCCCGGGTGGCCCATGGGGTCGGGGCGTATCCGAGTGGTGCCGCCCAGGCCCACCGGCCACCGGAGGGCCTGCTCCAGGGGGGTGGCCGTCGACAAGCGCGGCGCCGCCAGCATGGACATCCGCTGGCGCAATTCCTGCGGCATGGGGACACTGCGCCGGGCCCACCGGGCCAGGTCGGACAGCGAGTGCGTCTGGCGACGGACCTGTTGCCCGACGAACCGGGCGCGGATCATGGCATCGGCGCTGGCCTGGTGCGCGCGCTGCATGGTGCTGTGCTTGGCGCGATTGGCGGCCTCGGTGGCCCGGTTGACCAGGTTTCGCCCGATGCCGGGCCGGGGATGGCGCGGCGGCTCGCCGGAGGGCGGTGGCGACGGGGGCGCCATCGCCGCGGCAGCGTCGATGGTGCTAGCACCGGCGGCGGCGCCGGTGGTCGGGGTTGGTGCGGGATTCGGCGCGGCACTGCGCTGCGCGTTCGAGGTGTGGTACTGCGCGCGGAGGCGGTGCTGTTGCGGGCGCGCAAAAGAGGGGCGCGTGGGGGCTGCTCCGGAGTAATTGCGCCGGGCGTCCGCCGTGGCGAAGTAAGCTGCCATATTCAGAGCCGGGGGCGCCGAGCGCCCGGGTCCAAGGCGAGACACAGCCTGCATAAGCCCGCTCATGTTGGGTGTTCTGCGAAAGGGCGTCCGGGGGTGGGGGGTGGGGCGGGGGAGGGGGGAGGAGGAGCAGAGGAAAGGGAAGAGGGAAGAAGCAGCCCGGAGGCGAGGCGGCGGGATACTTTCGGAACTCGCGGAGGCGCTGCGCAGGGGGGCGCTGCGCGGGCGGACACGGGTGCGTGCGTGTGTGCGGATGGAGAAAAAGGAAGGAGTGGGGGGCGGTGGCTGCGGGTAGGTGCTGGGGTGTCGGCCTCCGGCACCGGGGAGGCCAGGCCATGGGGCCCTTTTCGCCTGTCCAGCCCGGTGGAGCCCTCCCAGTGGGGCCCTCCGCCCAGCCCGTCGGGCCTGGCTGCCCTCCCCATGGCTTGGGCGCCCGTGGTCGGGACTTGCGGATTTTTTCACCGACTGGGGCGATCTCCGGCGCTCTGTCCCCGCCCCCCCGCCCCCCCGCCCCCCCCCTGACTCTCTGTCCCCTCGCGCGGCGGCCTGGCCCGCGGTGGCGTTGGCATATGGATCATGCCCAGCCACGCTGCCGGGTGTGGTTGTGGGCCGGGCGCGGTGGCTCCGGCAGTCCTGCCCTCTAAGGAGGCCATATGATTGGCAGGTGGCCGATCGACCTGGTGCCAGGCCACCCAAACTGGCGCCGGCGCCTCCTGCGCCGTGTCAGGGGCATATCTGGCATGCGGGGCCCGCCGAGCCGGCGACCCGATGTGGCACGGCGCTCACTCTGCGGGGGGGGGGCAGGGCAACAGGCGAATGGGCAAAAGGCGGGCG